ACAAAACCCTCTGCTCTGCCAGCTGTCTGCAGAGCTTTCTCATGATGTCTCCACCTGTGCAAGCCACCCGGGTACCTGTGTAGCTACAGTTGGGCTCAATGATCTTAAAGGTCTTTTTCCAACCAAAACAATTCTATGATTCCATTTCCTTCATGGCTTGTGTGTCTCCATTAACTGGATCCCCACCAGTGAAAGGAGCTGTGAATAACAGCCAGACAAACACCTGCATTTGGGGGGGTTGGAACTTGATGATCTTTAAGGTCCCTTCCAACCCAAACCAGTCTGTGATTCTGTGATTCTGTGTGCTTGAGTTGGATCCCACCCAGATATAGTCATCCCCATTGTGCTGACCGTGGGCTGAGGAGCTGCTTTTGGATAGAGCTTTGGCTGGGAGATGTTTAGGGAATAGATGTCAGGTGTTAGGTGTCAGCACCCAGCATGAGCAGACCAGGGTGGTTAGGCGTTCCTGGGCCATAAACAATCCAAGTTGCCCCTTTCTCTTTCTTTGAAGGATACTGGGGCCCTGGGGGTCGTGTGGAACCTGTGAAACGATCAGCAGCGTTATGACAGTCGGGGTTCCATCAGGGTGGGGCCCCCATCATCGCAGTCCTGCAGCACCAGTGGGTCTACAGCTACAAACTGGACGGGAATCCTTTCCTGTCTGGTGAAAGCCCATTGCCTTTGCTCTGTGGAGCAGCTGCCCCTCAACACCCTCATTCCCCAGGGATCCCTCACCCCCCAGCAGCCTGGAGCTGCTCAGGATCTGAAGTGGATTTATCAGGTTTTAGTGGATTGATAGGAAGAAGACTTTGCTCTGCAGGTAGGAGAAGGAAGCTGGGAGACATGGAACAGAGGGACAGGCAGTGGACAGGGGGACTCTCTCTGAGAATGCAGGCTTGGGATCTGAAATTAGAGCCCTCCATGCCTTTCCACATGGAATATACCTGCCTGGTCACCTGCCGTATAAGGACCCATGGGAGCTGTGGAGAGAGGGAGACCTTCCCTTGGGAACTGAAGGTGAGAAAGTTAAATGCCAGAGATAAGGGAAGTGTAGAAGTAAAAGGCATCCAACACCTTCCCCCTGCCCCCACTCCTGGCAAGTGGGTCATCTCCTTGCTCAGGTATGTGCGGCATTCGGAGCCGCTGGTGCTGCCCAGAGCAGGCTGATCCCGAGGGCAGGAGCACACAGGCTTCACCTCCAAAGCTTTGGTGGTGTTCTTTGGGCAGGAACCCAAGCTGGATGCTGCAGCAGGGGAGCAGAGAGGACATCAGGGTTTTGAACCAGTCTACGAGGACTGAGTTGAGGGTTTCTGAATCTCTTCCCTGCCTCCTGCTGCTGGGTTGGCTCTAGAGTAAGGGTTTCTTCACTGGGACACGAGGGGTGTTGCTGGACACAGAGGTGGTTAGGTGAGGATGGGACTCAAAGTGAGCTGGTAGTGCCAACACGGGGCTTCCTTTAATGAGGACAGGGACTTTTCAGGGCCTGCACGTTCGATGAGGACTGATAGGAATTACAGGGTGTGAATACACCAGCGCAGTGGGGAAAAAATCCCAGTGCAGCGTGCTTGGTTCCAGTGAGCACAGCACTCCCAAGTCCAGCTCCTCTGAGCTTCTACTCATGGAGAAGAGGGTGGATTTGTGCACGTCCCTGTATCTGGGTGGAAGCCAGCTTACCCATGCGTTGCCAGTATGGCTTGCAGAGGTGCAAAGGCTCTTTGAATTAGCTGGAAGCACAGGTGATACGTTTCACTGAAAAGGGCGAGGAAATCTCTTGGGTCCCGTCCAGCTTTGTTAAGAGCAATGAAGTTGCAGCAGGGATGACTTTGGCCCGTTGCACTCCAGTGACATAGTTCAGAGCTGTAAAACCCTCGGCTCAAGCGTGCAGGGTGTGGGGCAAGATCAGCTTGCTCTTCTGAAGTGTGCTGTAGGCTCTGCCAGGGAAACCTGGTGGTTTTGCCAGCTCCTCTACATATGAATGAGTCTACAAGGGCTTTGCAATGAGCTTGACACATGGATAACCACATAATTAAAGACTGTAGCTTTAGAGAAGAGTGTTAGAGCTGGTATCTGTAACCACAAAGAGCAGAACTTGAGTCATCAATTGCCAAGGGATGAATTTCCTAGTGGGTTGCTCCATCAGGTTGCTGAATTATTTGGGCCTGGATCCAGTGGGATGCTGCATCAGACATGAACCAGGAGGGGAAGACACCTGGCAAGCGGTGATTGTCTGACACAGAGGTCCTGTTAGCTTGGAGGACCCAGACTTGTGAAAACAGCTCTACAAAACTAGAACTAAAGCAAAGGTTAGGTGAGGGCTGAGTCACTTCACCAAGACCAGACAGCAGCAGTATGCCTGGCAGGTTCCATTTTAGGCTCTCACAGGCTGATGAATTAATGGCAACACCACTTCAATTTCTAGGCCTACAGTCCCAGTTATTCTCAATTAATTAATGATATTGTCCTAGAATATTCTTGGTTAATTAACGATATTGTCCTACAATATTCTCTGTTAATTAAAGATCCTGTCCTAGAATAAAATGCAATACATCTCAGGCTGTTGAGTTCAAAGGAGACCAACGTCAACACATCTTAGGTGGGTTGCAGATCCAACGTCCCCAAAGCGTGAGGCTGATTGGAGCAGAGTTTCTGATTTTCTCCCATTTCTGGCATTAAATTCTCTTGTTTGTGTGACCAAAGCTTTGTACCTAAAGCTTGGCTCTTCTTTATCAGGCCGTATTTCTCTCATAACTGCATCCTCTGCCCAGCTTACCCTCTGTTATCAGTGCAGATAGGTGGGGGGGAAGTGGGACAGAGGACAGCGATTCACTCCGAGTCTGTGGCTGAGTCAGAGACTGAAGCTAAATCACCACAGCCTGTGACTCGTGGGCTGTTCTTGCTGCTCTCTTGATTTCCTCCTAGCTTAAGCACGTGTTGAACATTGGGCTCCCACCACTGGTGTGTCAAGGGCTCTCTTCACAAGTTCTCTTGTCTGTATTTTTTTGCCATAGGCAAGGTCTGAAATGGATAAATACCTTTCAAACGAGGTGCCACCCATCCCAATGATACCAGACAAAAAGTACCGCCGGGAGAGTGCCTCAGTGGTGGACGAGTTCTTTTCCACAGAGAAGCCCACTTCTACACCCTACAGCGTGAACATCAATGTGATTCTACCAGACACGACGCATCTGCGCACCGGACTTTACCGGCCACCCAAACCCATGACGCCATTCCCACAGATCAAAACAGAGCCTGGCACCAGCTTTGCCCAGCCCTGCTCTTCTGCCTCCGGCTCCACACAGACCCTACCCGACTTCACCAGTGTCTTCAGCATGCCCCAGTCAGTGGCGGTGAGCAACATCTTCATCAAGCAGGAGATGCCCTCTGAAATCCCCTTATCCACCAATCCACAGCCATCCCAGCTTTACCAGATGCCTCTCGGCAATGGAAGTGCTGACATTACCACTCTGACATCCTCCTCCAACAGCACCACAGCCATCAACAGTCTCAGCGGGGTCACCATGTCCACAGGTAACGCCATGTCCAGTGTGGTCCACAGACCTGTCCATCCAGGAGGGCCAGTTAAGCAGTACCCACATGTCTCCCAGGGACAGGGAAACTTCAACATCTCAGGGCAATTCTACGCTGTTCCAGGGGTGAACCTGCCCCCTTCACCCCCCAACTCACAGCCTGGCAGCCCAGAAAACCAACCTGAGCTCATCAACACCATCTCTCCCCCACCATCCTATGAAGCCACTTTTGGACTGAAGCTGGTCCAGTCATCCCAGGTCCCCCCAGTCCCCAATGGCCTTGGGACCGTCTCCCAAGGGCACATTGTCATGCAACCCCCCAAATACAACAGACGCAACAACCCTGAGCTGGAGAAGAGGAGAATCCATCACTGTGATTACCCAGGTATGCTCATGGCTGATGTACTGGCTTGGCTTTGGGGGGGGACAGGGGGTGTCTTCTTCTTGACACGCTGAGGCTGGGGGCTGCCTTGGGCCTCTGCAGGAGTTTAATCTGAAATTGCTTTGTATGTCTGCACGATGAAGGGAGCTATGGAGCTGGGTGGAGCCAGGGAAGTGGGGTTCCTACCACCACCAAGGGAGTAGAAGAGGTTGATCCTGCCTGTGCTACCTGCTGCCTTTTTTTTTCTCCTCTGCCCTTCCCTCTTTGCACTCTGGCATGAGAGGCAGAGAGCTGCTGCAAAACATGGGGACGCTCCTGGAAATCTTCTGCCTTAGCTGTCTATTTCACTCTGGTCTTGCCTAACCTTGAGCAGCCACATGTTCTCTGCAGGTGAAACCACACTGGCTTTCTCTCTGACCTTTCCTTTCCCACTCTCCCATAACAAGTGGCAAACCATTGAGTGATCTCCATAAGAAGCCTTTACTGTCTCTCTCTGTAGCCCCAGTTCTCTCCTTCCAATGATGCAATGAGCTGAATATCTCTGTCATATCCTTCACTGGCTTCATGTACTGCATCAGGATGGCGTGGAAAGGCATTTCAGGGTAACAATCAGCCCAGAGCTGAAGCTGTCCCTTGTGTGTCACCTCATTGCACAAGCATGTCCATCTAAAGACCTGTGATGCCTTGGCAGGAGGAGATCTTGTAGGCTATTCTGCACTGTGCACAAAGAACTTGTAGGACTCACAGCTGCAAACTCTCATTTGTGCTGCACAGGAGAGGACTTGATGGTTGGATTCGATGATCTCAAAGGTCTTCTCCAACCAAACGGTTCTATGAACGATTCTATGATTCTGTGAGAGAAGCAATCATGTCCATAGTGAGAAACCCCAGTGACACCTTGAACATCACCAGTCCTCGTGCAGGGACACACACCTCCCACTTCCTGGGCTGAGCCATGGCCATTGAGATGTTGGGGATTAGCCAACAGCTTTCCCATGGGGGAGTGTGAACTATGGAAAGTTATTTCCTACCTACCTCCTGCAAGATTTATGTGCTCTTTCCACGGCACGTGAGTGTCTGTAGTAGGTCAGCCCAGAGGTGTATCTAGTCCAGATCCTGTCTCCAGCACTGACCCGAGGATGTATATAAGAACAGGACATGTTTAGACAGATCTTTCTGTGCTTAGACCTTCCCACCCTCTGGCAACCTGCAGATGAAGGACTTTCTGAGCCAGAAACTGCACCCGTGTTCTTGTGGTTAACAGCCTGTGCTGAACTTTTTACCTTCTGCTGGTCACAGTGGGAGACAGATGAAGGGTGTAAGTGAAACACTGCTCTGAGACAGACCCCTCAGCTCTTGTGAGAATGGGTCAGAGCAAGGGTCTCATCCTGCAGGATGCATGACCAAGGCAAAATTCTCCTGTTTTCAGCAGGTGTAAGAATCATAGTAGTTGGAAAAGGCATTTAAGATAATTTAGTCCAATCATAAACCCAACACTACCAATTCCATCTCTAAACCATGGCCCTCAGCATCTCATCTACCCGTCTGTTAAGTCCCACCAGGGAAGGTGACTCCACCACCTCCCTGGGAAGCCTGTTCCAGTGCTTGACTGCCCTTTGGGTGAAGAAGTTTTTCCTCAGATCCAATTTAAAGCTCCCCTGGCGCAATTTGAGGTCATTTCCTCTTGTCCTATCACTTGTTACCTGGGAGAAGAGACCGACACCCACCTCTCTCCACCCTCCTTTCAGGGACTTGGACAGAGCCAGAAGGTCTCCCCTCAGCCTCCTTTTCTTCCCAATTCCCTCAGCCATTCCTTGTAATACTTGTGCTCCAGACCCTTCCCCGGCTCCATTGCCCTTCTCTGGACCCACTCCAGCACCTCAACATCTTTCCTGTAGTGAGGGGCATAGGAAGGCAGGAACACATCCAAGGTGCAAAACCCCCCCCACAACATGTGCTGAACAAACACTGGGCAGTTTGATAGTGTGTACGTGCAGAGAAGGTGGAGGGTTGCTTCTCATCCTTCAGGTTCAGCTCGAGGTGAAACCAGTCTGGACTGGTGTCAGGGGCAGCAGGTCCCAGTGACATGGTCTGCACGAGGAAGCGACAGAAGTCACGCTAAATTCATGCTGGTAGCTGGATGAACAGGGGAGACCTGTTTGCAAAGCCCTGATCCAAGTTTCCAGGTGGTGACCCCAGCACTTTCCTCTGTGTGCTCACAGGGAAATGAAGCTCAGCCATGCCCTGCTCTGACTTCTCTGGGCTGCTCCTCCCTCTGGGTTTGGAAACTGCTCTGGGAGCTGGGCTGGTTTTGTCTCCATACCCAGCAGAAAGACAGTCCTTGGTCTCATGTATATTCACCTTTCTCCTGAGTGTGAAGGACCTACAGGGCTTCAGAGCATCAGAAGCAAAATTGAACTGGGTCACCAACCCTTATCCCTCCTACCATGGGGAGGGGAAAGGCAGCTCGCTGCTCCTGCACCTCATGAGCAGGACAGGATGGAGAGCTGACCTTGTGCAAGAGGCTTCTTTTGGCTGCGTGGAAACACTGGAACGAAAAATATGACTGTGTTGCTTATGCAGAAAAATTCATATTTTAATATACTTGTCAAAACACAAAGAGGCGGGGCCAAAAAAGCAGCGTGAGGAGCTTTTCTAAGCTTTAGCTAACTGAAGCGAGGAACTATGTCTCAGCTACTGCAGTTGAGACACCTGTTGAAACTTTGGCCAGAGTCACGGTGTGTCTGTTTAGAGCCTTTCTGTGATGAAACCTGGTGTTGCTGATCTGAAAAAACTGCCCACTGGCTTTGTTCTGGATCCTGAAAGCCAAGCTATGGCTCTACAGTCTACCTGGATTTTCCTGCTTCCTGGAACATTTTTACCACATCTGCTGATGCTGGGACTATTACAAAATGCATCTTCCCTCCAGCCTTGCAGTAGTGATGTCGATTACATCTGGAATCCAGAAACAAAGGGCAGCACAAAGCTGGCACCTAATGGTGGTGAATTTCATGTTTTCATCCCGCCTTGAAGACCTGGTTGGGGAAGGGAGGATTTGAAAGTCTGTGCCTGACTCTTCCCACTCTAATTCCCAGCACAATGCCCACGGGTGTCAGGATTGTGTGGCAAAAGATGGAGTGTTGTAAAGGTCTGTCTGTCTTGGAGAACAAATGCTCTTTAGTTACTGCTGAAACAACACGGGTATAGCCAGGCTTCTTTGCATACCGTTAGCCAGAGTGCTCTGCAGGCTTGCTCCATCCTAACCTCAAATAGAAATATTCTGGATTTGTTTGAGCAAGGGCCCCTTTCTCATGGGGAAGTTCTCTTTTCTTTTTTTTGGCAGGTTGCTCAAAAGTTTATACCAAGAGCTCCCACCTGAAGGCACATCAGAGGACTCACACAGGTAAGAGCACCTCATTGTCAGGAAACTCTGCCAGCCTACACTTCCGAGCCTGTACATGGTGGTGACGATGGAGCTGAGATGCCCCCTCCCTGGAAGTGTTCAAGGCCAGGTTGGATGAGGCTTTGAGCAACCTGGTCTAGTGGAAGGTGTCCCTGCTGCTGGCAGGGGGGTTGGGACTGGATGAGCTTTAAGGTCCCTTAAAGGAGGAGGAAGTGCCCCTAAAACCTCTGTCACTCTGAGCTCTTCCTTTAAGATCTCCCAGGTCCTAGCCAGGTCAGATCCTGCTTCACCTACAGCTTGTGTAAAGGCCTGTGGTGCACGTATATGACCTCTGAGGAGACAAGGACCATCTATTTTGTGTCGAGGGCCTCTGTGGTTCCCAGGGAGAGAACCTCATGCCTTCTTATGTACCAGCCACACAGACCACTCTCACCCAGTGCTTGTCCCCTTAGCAGTGCCAGTGGTGTATCACTGGAGCTGACAAATACATGTACCAAAGGGCTGTGTCCTCCTTCCCGAGGGCAAAGGTGCTGTGGGCCACCCTTGCTGGTGTAAACAGAGTCACTAGCACAGAGGAGGTCCCACTGCTCCCACCACAACCAGCTTCCGTGGGGTAAACCTCGCTCAGTGGCACTCGTGCATTCAAGCACGGGTCCTCTCATTAAGGCATTTATTATACCTGAAACTTTATCAGATCCTCAGGTAGTCCAGGAACCATCAGTGCCCTCATAAATCTCTTTTATAGAAGGGCTGATCTTTACTGAAAGCAATTAAGCTGGCCCAGAGTTCACTTTTCTTTTTTTATTAACAACGAACAAAACCCCATCCCGAGGCTGGGAATCAGCTCTCGCACTTGGCTCCGTTCCGTGTTCCTCTTATCAGTCCTTCGAACAAGCCAGCAAAGAATTTTTCTTTGTGCATGAAGTACAATATTTTGTTGGCAGGGCCTGGGTAGGAACAGGCTGGAGAACAACACGGAAGGGGTGGAAGAAAGGAACAGGAAGGACATTGTCCCGGCTCTGAGAGCTGGGTGGTGATAAGAATTTGTCACAACAGGGATCTGTATTCAGAGCTATGGTAGGGCTCTGGCTTCAACATGAAGTATCTCTTTTCCCCTTCCGTTCAGAGCACGGGTCTTAGCTCTGTACCCAGAGACGTGACCCACCTGAGACAGAAGACCCGTCTGACCCCATCTGACTGTCCTTACAAGCCACACTATAAAGATGTATCTAGGCAAACTTGGGCAGTTTTTGAACCCGATAAAATCAATCACTTTTCCAGCTTTCCCAGTAACTGGGCTGGAAATCCAAATGCATTTACATCCTTGCACTTCACCTGCTGTAAGAGGGAAGCGCAGAGGGTGTGACCTGAGTAGTCAAGGAAGCTGGTAGTATTGTGGGGCAGGTAGAAAGCTGGGATCCAAACCAGAGAGCCATACGCAGGCAGGCTGAGTGTCTGCATCCAATTTTTGAAGCCTCATGTTTTGCTTTTGGTGCCTCCTCCTTGCTGAGCACAGCACCGGAGCTGCAACGGCAGCTACGTACGCTCGATGCCTCTTCGGCTCCATCACTGGAAGGGTTAATAATGCCCTTTCTCTTGATTCCTTGCCTGATGGCAGCTGGGCTGAGAAGCACATGATCTTTAAGATCATTTTTTTTTGTGGTTTGCCCGTTGCTATGGGCTGGGCTGTATTCATCTCCTGGAGACACCATTCATTTCCTGGGTGCCATTGTGAGATTAAATATATAACCCGGTGGCTGCTCACCCGCCTCCCGGGGGCTGGGAATGCCAGTTTGGGTCCTTTGTTTGAGCTTGCCCTGCCGTGCTGTCCTGGGAGATGGAGCCAGCTCGTGGGACAATGGAAAGCATTTTATTTCTATCCTGGAGACCAACCTGTTATTGTTTGAAACTAAAGGGCCTTGGTAGGGTTGACCCAGCCAGGTCACCTGGCTGGGACAATGTCTGTGGCTGCGCAGTATAAATCCTACCTTTGTCTTCGCACGCTAACGCAAACCCCGAGATCCCCAGCGTGCTGTAAAACATCCAACGTGCTGCTTGGAAATTGGCTTTAAGGTTGGTATTTGCCTGAGCCATAAAAAAAGACACCTCTCTCCTCCTCGTGAGCCTTTTGGGGAGCAGGATGTGGTCTTGGTGCCCTGTCTCCTCCAGATTCATGTGTCTCTGCTTTCATATGCTTTTGGCCTCAAGTTGCACCAAGGGAGGTACAGATTGGACATCAGGAAGAATTTCTTCACTGACAAAGTTCTCAGGCACTGGAATGGGCTGCCCAGGGAGGTGGTTGAGTCCCCACCCCTGGAGTTGTTTAAAAGACGGCTAGATGGGGTGCTCAGAGAGATGGTTTAGTGGTGAACAGGTACAGTTGGACACGATGATCTCCAAGGTCTTTTCCAACCAGGAGATTCTATGATTCTCTATTTTGTCCAGTGAGTGCAAAACACTGTAGATCTTGCTGTGGCTGAATGGATTTTTTTGTTTCCTGGCCAAATCCACCTCCTGCCTAGAACACGGGCTGTGGGGAAGAACGGCCGTTTACCGGGAAACATGTCAGAGCAGGAGATACATGCCTGTGCACGCACGCTGCGTGTGTACGTGCGCTCACGGCGCCATGGTGCGCTCGGCAATTGGCCGATGAAACGGTAAATATTTGAGGTCGGGAAAGTCAGCACATTCCCTGAACTCTGCCTGCTTGTTCAGGCTGTTAAGAGCGAGGACTAATATTTGAGAGCACCACACCCATGTGCGGAGAGGGCTACAGCCAGGGTTCAGCTCTACAACCTGGGCAGGCAGGGAGCTGGAAGCGGGCACGGGCTTTTCCAGCCCAGTTCCCAGCTGGCTGAGAAATTGCACAATTGAATTGATTTCGGTTGGGGAATAGGTGTGTATGGGGCAGGAGGTGTGGGGGGGGGAGAGGGCAGAGGCATTACATCACCCCAATGCTCTGAAGAAAACACAATGTTTTGTGTACAGAGAGCTGCTGCAGGGCTGAACTTGGAGGTAGAGAGTGGTTTTAAAGATGTGAGGCTTTGAGGAAGATTTATATAGTGTAAGCCCTTTCTTCCTCCTGATGCCCCCACACCTGTATGAGCAGCAACACCTTCCAGAGGAATTTTTGGCTTTTTAGTTAAAAAAAAAAAAAAAAAAGAGCTCAGAAAAATTTTTAGCCAGAAAAGCTCAAAAAAATCCAACAGGAACTTGAACAGCAAGTTCAAGCAGGGGGGACACATGGATAAGACCTGGTTAATGCAGCTCAACAGTTTATGGTCCCTTGGTGCCTCTGGACTGTGTACAACAAAGTGAACCCCCAAAGTGTCAAGCATTAGCGGAGCAGCCCTGGGTGCCCTCCTGGACCTCCCAAGAGAGGACAGGCATCGCTGATGGGATGGGGTGAGTGTTTGGAAGGGTGGGCAGACGTGTCTCTGTGTAGGCTCCTTGCATGGTGGGGCTGTCCCTGTGACCTGTGGCTCTTCCCTGCAGGTGAGAAGCCCTATAAATGCACCTGGGAAGGCTGCGACTGGCGCTTTGCCCGCTCCGACGAGCTGACCCGGCACTATCGGAAGCACACGGGTGCCAAGCCCTTCAAGTGCCTAGCCTGCGGCCGGTGCTTCTCCCGCTCTGACCATCTGGCTCTCCACATGAAGCGGCACCAGAACTAGGAGCCGCCTACCTTCGCCACTTCTCCAAGAGCAGCTGAAACTCTTTTTTCTTTTCCGAGGGGCCTCTCCTCTTCTCGTACGTAGGAACAAACCCATGCTGTGATCAACCATCAGGGCAGGGGTGATGGGCAAGTCCTCTCTGTAAGCCCTGGCCCCAACTGTTTCTGGTTTTAAAAGAAATCTCATTTAAAAAAGAGTTATAATTACAGACTGATCTCACGACGAGGCTCCCGGTGGCACTGGGGTGATGGACCTTGGATTCCAAAGGGCTTTCTTTCAGCAAACCTGCTATTTATTTGTCACTCAGGAGCAACTGTTCTTCATGTCTCAAGCTCTTTGGGATTTTTTTACCCCTTTTAGAGCTGTGCCTTTGGTGAGCCTGAGGAGGATTGTGACGGGTTGGTAGCCTGGCTGTATGTGAGAGGTCTCACTTCAAACTGTCGGTGCAATCCCTCTTGGACCACCCAATGGCATGGCCGTGCATGTGGCACCTCATCCCATGGCGTGGCCATGGATGTGGCACCTCTGATGGACCAGAGCAGCAGCACATGCCCAGGGCTGTTTGGGTTGACAATCCCCATCTCTGTGGGGGCACAGAAGAAAGGGCCTGTGACATACTCACCTGATGTGCCTTCAAGCAAGGGACAGCAAAAAAACCGATGACAAAAGCCATCATCTGTGTCTCGTTGAGCCCACTTGTGCTTTCCTGGCAGCCAGCTCACTTGGAGCTGCAAAAATCTACCCTGCTTGGCCAGGTTTTTTGGTTGTGTCCTTAGCATTTCTGCTTCCAAGATGAATTTTGACTTCAGGTGTTTCTGGGAGGACCAGCACGGGCCTTGAAGCCACCCAACAGACTACAAAAAAGCCACCAATAAAGCTCTGGTTTCCCAGAATACACTGTGCCTTTCTCCAAAAAGCATTGGAGGCTCTGCTCGTGCCTTGAACACGCACCCGAGGAATCAGTCATCACCAATTGCACCAGTCTTTTGCTGTTGCCATTTCATCACGTTCCGACAGAAAACAAAACAGGAAAAAAAGCATCTTTGAAACAAATTCCAATAAATCCTGCTGTTCAGATTGTAATCATGTTACCTACCTCACAGGTTCACCACCTTGGACTCCCTAAGGCACCTTCCCTCTTCTTCCGTGGGGAGCCGTGACGTGTGGGGCACATCAGCTATTCTTCAAAGTCTACTGGGGGGTTAAAGTTGGGCAGAACAAGAACCAGGCCATGCCAGTTTAAACAGCAGCCGCGCAGGTAATAAATCCATCAGGAACAAATAATGGGCCTGGTACGCTCAACAGAATATTGATTTCCCTCATGCTGTCCTCCTCTTTTATTTTCCTTGAACAAATGTAAGTAACGTGCAGACCTATCCGTGTCTGCAGCACGACCATGGATGATGAACATGAAGGTGGCATCTTCAGGCGGTGGAAATTTGAAGGCCACCCCTCTCTGCTATTGCCCAACTGCACATTAGCCAAAAACTGGGTTCCTGGTTGTCCTTTGTGTCGGATAAATTTAACTGATCACATCTGCGGCGCATGTGGCTGGTCTGGTGTGACGGGAGAGGAGGGCAGGAAGGATCTGGGGGAGTTGCATGGTGTGGTGTAGACTTTGAGATGGATGATGTGCCCGGGGCTGGGTGTGCAGCTCTGCAGCGAGCTCTTCATGTGGCTCTTTGGCAAGAAGCCTTCTCCTTTCTCCGTGCCACCAAGGAGGATGGGAATGGGGGGGTGAAGTCAGGCTATGGAATTGCTGGGGGCTGGCTTGGGTGACTTTCCCTGATGGTGGGTGGGAAGGACCTCAGCACTAGAGCCTTTGCCTGGCTGGAGGGTCTGATGACAGCACCCTCTTGACACCATGTTCAAGTGAGGATTGGAGAGTCCAGCTCATAAATCAGCTTTTGCTGACCACGTGTGTGTCCTCCATGTCCTTTCCCCAACTCTTTTGTTGCTTGTGGTCACAGCTCGCTGGGGATCGGCGGGTGCTGGAGCAAATGGGCTCGTTTTCCATCTACCTTGTTGACTGTGGGGTCTGGCTCTTCTTCAGAGCACAGAGCAGGACCTTGCCAATGCCACCACTGTCACCCGGGCTCCTTCTTTTTCCCACCTCACCTTGGAGGCTGGGTTGAGCCATATGAGTGAGTAGGGCTTTGCAACACCATCTTCTCACAAAAAAATAGTGGGGGTAGGAGTGGTGCATGGCCTGAAGGCTCCATGCGGGGAACAGTTTTACCTGTTGCTTCTGCTTAGAGATGGAGAGGCTCAGGGAAGGTCTCTGATTGTGGAAAAACCCCTTGGAGAGCAGCAGCAGTGCAGGGTGTAGGAGCGTGCGTGTCTGCCAGCACGGGCGGGTTGAGCTCATGCCAAAGGAATTTCAGGGTAATGTGAAGATGCCTCAGCCGGTCCCCGCCGGTGTCTCCAGGAACCTCAGGCTGCTTTGGTGGGGACCCAACACGGCTGTGCTGGGACCTGCTGGGCTCCACCCTGCTCTTCTGGCGCCTGTTCAGCTCCTCGGTGGGAGAACCCTGGCACAGTGAACCTGAGGCACTGCTGTCCCCATGCCCCCCGGAGCCAGCAGCCCCCACGGCTGCAACCCTGCGGGAAGATGGTTGGTTTTTTGGTGCATCTGTTGTGGTTGAACCTCCTAAAAGTGTGAGCCAAACTACAGGGCACAGGGTTGACCCAGCCACTGCGTGTGCCATCAGGCTGGTCATGGGGTTGGCCCTCAGCCATGACCTTCTCAGAGGGATCTCATTGCCCTCCCCTCTTCTTTTTGGAGAGGGAAACCTCTGCTCCCCCCACAACATCTCCCTTTTCCATCTCTCCCTCCTTTGCTGTGCTGATGGGGCCCAAAACCTGTTCACTGAAAAACAATTCCCAGCCAAAACAACCAACAGGCAGCTTTCAATCTGAGGTGAATTTTAAATAATTTTCCTGATGATTTAGGGTTTTTTTTTTCACTACTGAAAAAGAAATGCATCTGCTCATCCTCACATTGACTCTGTGTGTGTATATATATATGTATCTATATTTTTTTTTTTAATCTGATGGAAAGGCAGAGGAAGAAATGTCAACAACAACAAAACCACCCCAATCCAGTCCTGCTTCCCAAGCAGCACCACTGGTCTCCATGCAATATACTGACATACAAATGTTTTACTAGTGCAAAGGCAATGCTTAGGGGGGAAAAAAAGAAGTGCAAAGGAAAACCACAGCAAGCTTTGGCTTTTATTTCTCTATTTTTACGTGTACAGCACTGGACAGCCTCCAGCCCTGAAGTTCATTGCAGCTCTTGGTGGCTGAGGGCAACTATCCCCCCAGGAGAAAACCGGGGGAGATGGGGAGTGACGCTGACAGAGCAAAGTGACGTAGCTGGGGGTGTGCAAACCCCAGCTGAATGCAGGTCCCTCCATCCCTGGGGACATAGAAATGGAAAATTAAGGACATTGGAAAAGGTTTGCAAGCCTGGGAGGCTTTGGAAACCTGTACTTGGTGCAGAACAAACACCAGTCCGGCTGGGATGTGGGTGCCTTGTCTCTGCCGTGGGGGAAAAAATAACAAAAATCTCTGTAAATAGGAAAAAAAAAAGCACTGTATGGCTTGGCGGGTCTGTGTGGATTGCAAGTGATTGTTTACTCTCTGAGATGAACATAATGTGAAAAAAAAAAAGATAATTGAGACCTGGAAAACTTGGGTGGAAGGTTTATTTTTCTGGTGATGCTTTTTGTTTGTTACATAACCTCTCTCCCCCCCTCCCCGCCCCGAAACTCCCTTACAATTATTAATCTATCTCATATTTTGTAATAAAATTTTATCACGTGGAGATGTGACCGTTCTGTTCCCTCCCATTGCAAGTGCTCTTTGTGCCTTTCCCCGCTGCTGCCTGTGCGTGTGTTGGTTTTACAGGGTTAGGAAAAGAGAGAGAGAGAGAGAGAGAAAAAAGGTTTTTTTGTCTGGTTGGATTAGGAAAATTAGGATTATTATTAGGTTGGATTAGGAAAATGGGTCTCTGAGCAGGGAAAGGATCCATGTATGGTGTAAACCGGGAGCACCATGTTGTGTTGTCCCATGGCCTGAGCTAACACACCATGTTGTGTTGTCCCATGTCCCCTGGGTTTGGGGGAACGACGAGCCCTTTCTCCAACCGATGTTGCAACGCTGTGCAAAGAAAAAGGAGGGGCAGGACGTTATTTTTTTTAATCCCCTCCACCTTTACTACGTGCTCCCATTTTTTTTACCCTACGAGGGGAGAAGGGGGCATCTGCCAGCCAAGTGGGAGCGGAGCAGGATTCTCCTCCATCCCCAGACCAGGCAGAGGGGAAGGAGAAGAGCTGGGGACACAGGAGGAGGTGCTGGGCTGGGGACGCGGCGTTCCAAACCCTCCTCTGTGTACTTTTGTGTATATATAGACACACATTTGTACATATGCAAACAGCCAGGAGGGGTTCAGCCAGGGCTGCTGAGCTCATGCCTTTGGCACGCCCGCGCCCGCACGCACATACACAAACACCTCCAAACACACAGCCCTCCCCCTCTACATATACCAAACTCAATGGCTCTTTATAAGTCGTTCTTGGCAGGATCCCATCTGCTTTCTCCACCACCTTCTTTGTGATCACTTCCCCTAGTTTGACTACGCTTGAGGGATCATGAGTCTTATTCCATGTCAAAGTCAACAGCTCTCTGTTGCTTTCCAAAGATCTTGCATTTCAGTTACATTTTTCATGAAGAAAATCCTCGTTCCCTGCTGATTAGGTTCCCTCAGCTCAAACTTCATTACGATGCTGAGACAACTTATTTTACATCCATCTCCGGTGGCTTTTAGACCATGTTGATGGTCCCTAAGCATTGCCCTGATTTACTTTCCAAGTCCTTCTTGGTAATTTCCAGATTTCACCATCACTTGAAAACTAACTTGAGGACCGAGATCGAGTTAAGCTTAGGGGATCAGGAAGAGCAGGACATTGAGCCACGCACCTTCTCCCGTTGTTCCT